AGCCCTGAAGTGATGTAACTTCTCTTCATATGTCAATGACAAAAGAAGTCACACACAACTTTTTGGGGAATAGAGAAGTGTAACACAGGAGCTCATGGAAGAAGATAACTGGAATATTTGTTAATATCCCTAAATTTTACTACACTATCTTAATTTATCTTTCAGTCTTCACATCTGGAAAACATGTCCTCTCACGTTCGTGCTCTTCTATAAGAAAGTCTTGACTGTTTTGGTCCTTTATTTTTCCATATCAACTTTGGAATCAGAATGGCATGTGTAAAAAAATTGTTGAGTTTTGGCTACATTTGGTTTGTATTTGTGTATATATAAATTCGGTGAAAATGAACATTATAGCATATTTATGTTTGTTTATGTTATAAGTTTGAATAATCTAATCCATGAACATTGGTTTATCTCTCCATTTATAGAGATCTATACAAGATACATATGGTGAAATGTTTAATCACCTTTATGATTGATTCCTATTGTACTTGCATTATGAGCAGAGAACATATGTTATGTCAGTGGTGGTTTCTTCAATGACGGAAATGTTCTGTGTCTGTACTGCCCAATACATTAGCTTCTATGTGGCTGCTGAGCACTTGAAATCTGACTAGTGCATCTAAGGAACTGGATTTTCTATTTTATTTAATCTTAATAATTTTAAATGGTAACGTGGCTACCTTATAGGGCAGTCAGATCTTTATAACTTCAGTACTTTGAAATTTCTTAAAATTTACTTTTAATGCAGCATCTGGTAGAAATTTTTTTCCATTCTTCAATTTTTTTATTAGACATCATTGATATTCATTCTTGTAAAGGTTTCACACGAAAAACATTGTGATTACTACAGTGACCCATATCATCAAGTACCTCCAACACACTATTGTAGTCACTGTCTATCAGTGTAGTAAGATGCCACAGAGTCATACTTGTCTTCTCTGTGCTACTCTGTTTTCCCCGTGACCCCCCCCATGCACAATGTACACTAGTCATGAAACCCCTCAATACCCTTCTCCCTTCCTCCCCACCCACCCTCACCCACCCCTCCCCTTAGGTAACCACTAGTCCCTTCTTGGAGTCTGTGAGTCTGCTGCTGTTTTATTCCTTCAATTTTGCTTTGTTGTTATACTCCACAAATGTGGGAAATCACTTGGTACTTGTCTTTCTCTGCCTGGCTTATTTCACTGAGCACAATACCTTCTAGCTCCATCCATGTTGTTGCAAATGGTAGGATTTGTTTTCTTCTTATGGCTGAATAATATTCCATTGTGTGTATGTGCCACATCTTCTTTATCCATTCATCTATGATGGACACTTAGGTTGTTTCTATATCTTGGCTATTGGAAATAGTGCTGTGACAAATACAGGGGTGCATATGTCTTTTTGAATCTGGGATCTTGTTTTCTTTGGGTTAATTCCTAGGAGTGGAATTCCCAGGTCAAATGGTATTTCTATTTTTAGTTTTCTGAGGAACCTCCATATTGCTTTCCACAATGGTTGAATTAATTAACATTCCCACCAGCAGTGTAGGAGGGTTCCCCTTTCTCTGCATCCTCGCCAGCATTTGTTGTTCCTTTTTTTTTTGATGTTGGCCTTCCTAACTGGTGTGAGGTGATATCTTATTGTGGTTTTAATTTACATTTCCCTCATAATTATCCATGTGGAGCATCTTTTCATATACCTATTGGCTATCTGAATTTCTTCTTTGTAGAAGTGTCTGTTCAGATCCTCTGCAGCATCTGGTAAAATTTTAAATTGGTTCATATATGCTTAAAAATCTAGCTTATTCTGTAGTTGTAGGCTGCAGAGTCATATGTATATACTAATAAGTCAAGTTTGTTACCCTGTTTAGGTTTTATATGTTATTGACATTTTTTTTGGATGCTAATTCTAACAATTACTTAAAAGCTCTCTTAAATCTCCTCCCACTATGTTCCTGGACTATCTATTTTTCACTTTTGTTTCTGTAAAGTTTTGTTTTCTTTTTTTTGAGACAATGTGCACATAAAATTAGAATTGTTGTATTACTAGCAAATTTAGCCTTTTGTCATTATGAAGTTTCCCTCTTTATCTTTTTTTTGCCTGGATTCTTTTTGCTTTAGTTTCTATTACACTTGATGATATATACCTTTCCTATTTATTTTTTTATTTTTGAATTTTTCCAGTTTCAACATTTTTCTTTTCTTTGCCCCCTCTTCTTTCAAGCTATTTTTCAGTTAACTTTTTTTGTCATTCTATTTCTTTTCTCTACAGAAGTTTGGAAAGTATATACGCTCTTTCTGTTCTTTGAGTGATTACCTGAGAAATTCTAATATGCAATTTTAACTATCAGAGCCTAATATTATTCAAGATGATAAAATGACCTTACAATACTTACATTTATATTTTCCCTGACTCATATGCTTTTGTTTTAGTAAACTTTAATTCTATATTTTTATATCCCCCAAAACATTATTTCTGTTTTATATGAATTTGTTTAGATTTACTCATGTATTGGCTTCCTATCTTCCAGCACACCCAAAATTCTGTCTGGAATCATTTTCATCATGCCTGAAACACATTCTTTAAAATTTTCTTTAATGCCGTTTTCTAATGATGAATGCTATGATTTTATTTGTCTGAAAATGTTTTTATTTTATCTTCATTCTTGAAAATATTTTTCACAGCCTGTAGGATTTTAAGTTTGAGGCTTTTAGAATTTTAGAATTCTACTGTCCTCTAGCTGCCATCAGTCTGTTTCTCCTTTGAAGGCAGTCTTTTTCCTATTAGGTTGCTTTTAAGATGTTTTGTTTTTCATAAATGATTTTTTTCCCTTAATTTGCCTGGGTTTCTAAAACCTGTGTGTGGCTATTGTCTTTTATCAGTTACAGAAAATTCTTTCCTTAGCTCCATTCTCTCTGTCTTCTCTTTTTGGAACTCCAATTAAACTGGTGTTAGGCCTTCTTGCTGAGTCCACCATGCCTCTTATCTTCTCATCTGTCTGTGTGTTTCTAAAATCTTTTTCTCTGTCCATGCTATATGTTGGATAATTTTCTAATCTATCCTCTAGTTTATTGATTCTCTTTTTAGCTATGTTTATTCTGTTAAACCCATTCACTGCATTCTTAATTTCATTCATTGTATTTATCAGTTTTTGAAGTTCTTCTTGATTATTGTTCCAGAGTAGTTGCCTTGCGGCCAGAGAACGTACTGTGTATCAGCACACAAGGAAGTAAGATACCATGAGCACGAGTCAGAGGAAACTGACTGGAAACTGAACCAAAGATTTCAACAGCTGGAAGGATTCGAATATATTCGTACAGCAGCCTGGTTTGGCATTTGGTTTCAAGGCTCTCTTTTTGTCCTTCTGTGTCCTTGAATTGATAGAAGATTTTATCATCCTTTTATGGGGTGGGGGACCTTATCACTGCCCCCCGTTTCATGCAGTGAGCCTTTTAACCAACTGGCATTTTTGCACTTCCAGTTCTGGTTCTCCCAGGGGCAAAGTGCTTTGCTGCCCTACAGCGCAGCAGGCAGACCTGTGGCTTAAGTGCTGCCCCCTGCTCGGCACTCATACTCTGTTCTTCAGTGTGTGGATCTGCTTGTTTTTGAGGCTGTTTGCATCTTTGTTGTATGTTTTTATTATTATCATTGCTGTGGATATTGAGCATGGAGGTTATCAAAGAATGAATTCACTCTGCCATCTTTGTGAGAAGTCCTTCATTTCTTTCTTTAATTATCAAATTGAACTACTTTTGTCATTTTGTGCCAGGCATTAATTAGCTGTGTCATTTCTTTATAGGCCATTGAACATGTGAATAGAAGCAATGAAGTGAGAAAGGAGGAGAGGTATCCATAGATGCAGATCGCATTCATGAAGTGACATATTTAATAGATTCTAAGCACCACTTGATTGCTTAAGGGGTGCCATTACTTTTTAACCTCTGAGGAAGAAAAAGCATTGACAGTGAAACTATGGCATCAGTTGTATCATGCTTCCAACTTTCAGAAACATTTAGTTGAGAATCTGTAGTTTATGGTAATGTTTTTTGTTTCCTCATGAACCCACTGTACCACTTTAGTTTAGCATGATTTAAACAATCTTAAGTCTTATAGAAGAGATCAGCATTAAACTTAGAAAATAATATTATGGACTTTATATTGCAAGTTTATTATTAAGTACATGACTCACTGCTTCAGCACTTACAGACGTTCCTATCTCCCTCTATCCTTAAAAGTTTAAATCAGTGTTTCTCAAACCTTCTGTGGTGAAAGACAAGTTGGGGTTTCTTTTCCCTGACCTACTGCAGCCTGCTGCATGGTCATACTGTCTCACTGGCTTGCACCACAGGTGACTTACCATGTGAGTTTGACAAGACTCTGACTGGGTAATGCTCTGCTAATGAATTAAAGCCAGTGATCACACTCTTAGGTGATAAAGTACTATAACATTTTCTAAACATGCCTAATTTCTGTTTTAATCTCACAGTCTAGTGAGTCTGTGGTGAACACTGGTCACAGACCCCTACTTCAAGTAGTGCTGACTTAAGATATCACCATCTATTTCCATAATCAAAAGACTGAGGAAATTCAGAATTATTTTGTCATCAGACTTTATTTTTTGAAATCTTACACTGAAGATGTATCTGGTCCGTCCTGGGGCTCTGCTTCTTATAATAATATGAACACATGCCTGTTCATTTTCAATGTTCCTGGTTTGGGGCAGTTGTCCTTTTCCCTTTATTTGGCTGGTGGTCGAAATCTGGGGTTTGCAATGACTGCAGCATCCATTTACTGGTCTTGTATTGTTGAGAAGCAGAAACAAAAACAGCCACTGAAATAAACTGCTTTTACCCTTTTCAGGAGAATTTATTTTATTTCAAGAAAAATAAGGTTTGGCTCTATCTCTGGCTGCTCATCTAATTGAGTGAGTGGCCATGCCAGGGAAAGAGAGAAGGGAAGAGAATGAGCTGGGGTATTAAATAATTTTTCACATGGTTGGATTTTTCTCTTTTCAGGTATCAATCATGGAGATCTTAATGACCATAACATTTTAATGGAGTCCAGCAAGTCAGCATTTGGAGATGTCATATATCAAGTGTCTGGGATTTTAGACTTTGACGACATGAGCTATGGCTACTATGTGTTTGAAGTGGCGATCGCCATCATGTACATGATGATTGAAAGCGAGAATCCTATGCATGTAGGAGGTCATGTCCTTGCAGGGTTTGAAAGTGTAATCCCATTGACACCTGTAGAGAGGGGTGCTTTGTTTTTACTTGTATGCAGTCGCTTTTGTCAGTCACTTGTCATAGCCTTATACTCTTGCCAACTACACCCAGAGAATGAAGAATATCTCATGGTTACTGCAAAAACAGGGTGGAAGCACTTACAGCAAATGTTTGACATGGGCCAGAAAGCTGTAGAAGAAATCTGGTTTGAAACTGCAAAGTCCTATGAATCTGGGATCTCCATGTGAGTAGGTAAAAGTTCACGTTAATTGGGATAAGTAAAAATCCAACACCTTCTTAGGCAGATTGTTTCTGAGAGCTGTGCCTCTGGTTTCTACAGCAGCCAGGGCCTCCTGAGAGCACCCAGATGTGTTTCCCACAGGCTGTCCGTTGATGTCCCAAAGCCCAGCCCTGATATTTTCTGGGTTGGCAAGCTTTGGATCTCCATGGGAGAGGGGATTGGAACCCCATTTATTAGGTCTATCTGCAGTCTGTGAAAATTCCACCCATAAGGGAAGTGAGCATGTCAACTACCCGTGCTGAATAGATTGTGTTGGCTATAAATTCTCACTCTGCATATCTCTGTCTGTGTCTCCTTGTGTCTCTTTCTCTGTGTCTTGCAAACACACATCTCATAAAAGGGACACAGATGCATCTGAAAATCATGTGGGGAAAAAAACCATTTTGAACAATAGGGTTGATTTCAGTAGTTCTTTTCCTTGATTCCTTCCTTCTGCTTGAAGTTACTTCCCTAGTACTCATGAAGGAGAGTTTCTGGACCCACTAGATTTCTGCCTATGTTTGCCACATGTATGTGACCAGAGCCTACAAGTAATAAAAATAAGTCTTATATTTGCTAATTGAATGTATATATAGGCACATTATATCTGCCTTTCTACCTATATCTGCAACCTCCTTCCTATGTGTATAGATCACATCTCTCTGTAGGTGTGTCTAGTCCTAAGTTCCCTCCATATCTCTCTTCCTCTAGGCTCCTTTTCTCCATGTCACTGTAAGTAGAGATCTATCAATCTACTTTTACAGAGGGAAAGAGTCTGTTTCAGGGGCCAGACGTGGTGGTGCATAGCTTCTGAAACAAGCGGCTGGCCTCTCTGGCCTCAGGACAAATGGACTTTAGGTGTGGCAGAGAAAGCCACAAGGAAAGATGGTTCTTAATAAGGTGGGCCTGTGGGAATTAGAAACGTTTAGTTTGCTAAAATATAATTCATTTTGAGATTTCCTGCATTTCAGAGCTTTAGGAGGGAGAACATTTGAGAGACTGGGACTTGACTGACTTTGGGCAGAGTACCTGATGCACAGAGAATATGTTCACCATTTCTTTCCAAATTCAAGAACTGATTCAGGTGGTATGAGATTAAACTTCTCTGTTACTGTGCTGCATGGGGAAAGTATGGTAAAAGACAATGAAAACCTTTAGAAAAAAAGAGTATTGTATTTCACTCATATTTTCATGGTTCTGGAGGCCAGTAAAGCACACTGCTAGCAGGAGTCAGAATTTTCAGGAATTCGTGGCACATCTCCAGTGATTGCGCCCTCCCGTTGTTTTTCTCTTTTCCACCTTTGTAGTGACATTCTCTTGTGTTTGGAGATCTCACCTTTCAGTTCATTTATTTGTATTTTCCCATTGACCTGGGACAAAGGAATCAATCCTGCCTTGTGATAAGCCAGTATACTGATGGATCACTGGCTTCTCAGTTTTATTTATCTTTTGAATCTTTCTCTTGAATCATTTCTAGTGCTGGGAAAATTTTATAGTTTCCTGTCAGCTCTGTTGACAATTTAAAAAATTCTTATAAAGTTTGAGGCTTTTTAATTGCATGAATTAAAACAGTTCTTGGAATATGTATTATTTTCCTCTAAAAGCATAAACATGCATATTGTGCTCATGAGTAAAGCATTTCACCTAGACATTCTATAACAGACAGTAATGTTTCATGAGACATCCTGAGTTTCTTGATTTGAACACCTCTCTGGTTTATCATATAATTATTCATTGTGTGATTATTTTCTTAGCATTTGAAAGTATTTTCATATTTTGAATCAGTTTTTGAATTTACAATTTTCTACTTTAGTGCATACTACCTGTCGATGGCCAGAATCAGTATTTTTCCACAGCATTAAGTTAGTATTGGTAGAATTAGTTACACTGTTCTACACTTTTCTGATAGATGGTCCTTTGACTCTAATCATGATTCTCCTTGGCACTTCACTGTCTGTGTAACGTAACTTCATTTTGATGTTTATATTTAATACAATGGAGATTTTAAGTGATATTAAGTGAAATGTGTATGTTGCTAAATGTTACTTGTTGCCCACACTTTGAGGTGATAGCTGAGCTTGTCATCGCAGAGTGCAAGAACATATAACCCCTGGGGTTTCTGCTTGGATGAACTTGATGATCTTTTTTAGGCCTGATATTTGCCTACTGTAACTACTTTTGTCATTTCATGCCAGGCATTAATTAGCTGTGTCACTTCTTTATAGGCCATTGAACATGTGAATAGAAGCAATGAGGTGAGAAAGGAGGAGAGGTATCCATATATACAGATTGCATTCATGAAGTGACATATTTAATAGATTCTAAGCACCACTTGATTGCTTAAGGGGTGCCATTACTTTTTAACCTCTGAGGAAGAAAAAGCATTGACAGTGAAACTATGGCATCAGTTGTATGATGCTTCCAACTTTCAGAAACATTTAGTTGAGAATCTGTAGTTTATGGTAATGTTTTTTGTTTCCTCATGCACCCACTGTACCACTTTAGTTTAGCATGATTTAAACAATCTTAAGTCTTATAGAAGAGATCAGCATTAAACTTAGAAAATAATATTATGGACTTTATATTGCAAGTTTATTATTAAGTACATGACTCACTGCTTCAGCACTTACAGATGTTCCTATCTCCCTCTATCCTTAAAAGTTTAAATCAGTGTTTCTCAAACCTTCTGTGGTGAAAGACAAGTTGGGGTTTCTTTTCCCTGACCTACTGCAGCCTGCTACATGGTCTTACCGTCTCACTGGCTTGCACCACAGGTGACTTACCATGTGAGTTTGACAAGACTCTGACTGGGTAATGCTCTGCTAATGAATTAAAGCCAGTGATCACTCTTAGGTGAGAAAGTACTATAACATTTTCTAAACATGCCTAATTTCTGTTTTAATCTCACAGTCTAGTGAGTCTGTGCTGAACACTGGTCACAGATCCCTACTTCAAGTAGTGCTGACTTAAGATATCACCATCTATTTCCATAATCAAAAGACTGAGGAAATTCAGAATTATTTTGTCATCAGACTTTATTTTTTGAAATCTTACACTGAAGATGCATCTGGTCCGTTCTAGGGCTCTGCTTCTTATAATAATATGAACACATGCCTGTTCATTTTCAATGTTCCTGGTTTGGGGCAGTTGTCCTTTTCCCTTTATTTGGCTGGTGGTCGAAATCTGGGGTTTGCAATGACTGCAGCATCCATTTACTGGTCTTGTATTGTTGAGAAGCAGAAACAAAAACAGCCACTGAAATAAACTGCTTTTACCCTTTTCGGGAGAATTTATTTTATTTCAAGAAAAATAAGGTTTGGCTCTATCTCTGGCTGCTCATGTAATTGAGTGAGTGGCCATGCCTGGGAAAGAGAGAAGGGAAGAGAATGAGCTGGGGTATTAAATAATTTTTCACATGGCTGGATTTTTCTCTTTTCAGGTATCAATCATGGAGATCTTAATGACCATAACATTTTAATGGAGTCCAGCAAGTCAGCATTTGGAGATGTCATACATCAAGTGTCTGGGATTTTAGACTTTGACGACATGAGCTATGGCTACTATGTGTTTGAAGTGGCGATCGCCATCATGTACATGATGATTGAAAGCGAGAATCCTATGCATGTAGAAGGTCATGTCCTTGCAGGGTTTGAAAGTGTAATCCCATTGACACCTGTAGAAAGGGGTGCTTTGTTTTTACTTGTATGCAGTCGCTTCTGTCAGTCACTTGTCATAGCCTTATACTCTTGCCAACTACACCCAGAGAATGAATAATATCTCATGGTTACTGCAAAAACAGGGTGGAAGCACTTACAGCAAATGTTTGACATGGGTCAGAAAGCTGTAGAAGAAATCTGGTTTGAAACTGCAAAGTCCTATGAATCTGGGATCTCCATGTGAGTAGGTAAAAGTTCACGTTAATCGGGATAATTAAAAATCCAATACCTCCTTAGGCAGATTGTTTCTGAGAGCTGTGCCTCTGGTTTCTACAGCAGCCAGGGCCTCCTGAGAGCACCCAGATGTGTTTCCCACAGGCCGTCCATTGATGTCCCAAAGCACAGCCCTGATATTCTCTGGGGTGGCAAGCTTTGGATCTCCATGGGGGAGGGGATTGGAACCCCATTTATTAGGTCTATCTGCAGTCTGTGAAAATTCCACCCACAAGGGAAGTGAGCATGTCAACTACCAGTGCTGAATAGATTGTGTTGGCTATAAATTCTCACTCTGCATATCTGTCTGTGTCTCCTTGTGTCTCTTTCTCTGTGTCTTGCAAACACACATCTCATAAAAGGGACACAGATGCATCTGAAAATCATGTGGGGTAAAAAACCATTTTGAACAATAGGGTTGATTTCAGTAGTTCTTTTCCTTGATTCCTTCCTTCTGCTTGAAGTTACTTCCCTAGTATACTCCTGAAGGAGAGTTTCTGGACCCACTAGATTTCTGCCTATGTTTGCCACATGTATGTGACCAGAGCCTACAAGTAATAAAATAAGTCTTATATTTGCTAATTGAATGTATATATAGGCACATTATATCTGCCTTTCTGCCTATATCTGCAGCCTCCTTCCTATGTCTATAGATCACATCTCTCTGTAGGTGTGTCTAGTCCTAAGTTCCCTCCACATCTCTCTTCCTCTAGGCTCCTTTTCTCCATGTCACTATAAGTAGAGATCTATCAATCTACTTTTACAGAGGGGAAGAGTCTGTTTCAGGGGCCAGACATGGTGATGCATAGCTTCTGAAACAAGCAGCTGGCCTCTCTGGCCTCAGGACAAATGGACTTTAGGTGTGGCAGAGAAAGCCACATGGAAAGATGGCTCTTAATAAGGTGGGCCTGTGGGAATTAGAAAAGTTTAGTTTGCTAAAATATAATTCATTTTGAGATTTCCTGCATTTCAGGGCTTTAGGAGGGAGAACGTCTGAGAGACTGGGACTTGACTGACTTAGGCAGAATACCTGATGCACAGAGAATGTGTTCACCATTTCCTTCCAAATTCAAGAACTGATTCAGGTGGTATGATATTAAACTTCTCTGTTACTCTGATGCATGGGGAAAGTATGGTAAAAGACAATGAAAACCTTTAGATAAAAAGAGTATTATATTTCACTCATATTTTCATGGTTCTGGAGGCCAGTAAAGCACACTGCTAGCAGGTGTCAGAATTTTCAGGAATTCGTGGCACATCTCCAGTGATTGCGCCCTCCTGTTGTTTTTCTCTTTCCCACCTTTGTAGTGACATTCTCTTGTGTTTGGAGATCTCACCATTCAGTTCATTTATTTGTATTTTCCCATTGA